GACCTCTAGAAACTTCTCTTGCACATTCGGAAGAGCAAGAGTGTGGGAAAGCAAATAACATCTCCATATTGTGAGGAAAATGGTGTTGACCTTGGAAATCTTGTTTGAGAATTGCTGAATTAAAGAGGCCTTACAGAGGCTTTTCTTAAATTTGCTGATGAGAGGCTCAGGAGGAGAAGCTGACCTCAGCTCCCTGCAGCTCCTGGGCTGTGGCTGACACAGACAGACACATATGGGCACCATGCTGGTTTGGTCTGCGATGAGTGCGACAAGAAGGAAGAAACTGAAGGCCTGTCGAGGGGAGCGCAGCAGCCTGCATGGTATATTAGAGTGCAAGGAGAGACTGCTGGTGTGAGGCCATTTCAGGAGTCGCCAATGTCTACTTCCCCTCTCTGGAAGAGCTGCTCTTCCCCTTGGCATTAAACAGGGCCATGTGACACTTGGAGCAAGGGGCTGTGTGGCAGGCCCTTCCCAGAAGCAGCCAGTGAGTTAGCTTGCTCTTGGCCTCGCTCTTTTCCCTCTTGGCAACCCTGAGGGTGCCCCAAGTAAACATTAGCTGCCCCATCAGCGTGGCAGCCCAGGATAGCTCTGACAGGAAGGAGTTCCCAGCTGACCCTTGCTGGGCAGGTAGCACAAATAAAAAAACAATCAGCAGCCACTCTGGCAAGTAAAGAATACAGAATCTACCACTTACTGCACATTTACTGAGAGATCACAGTTCATTCAACGTTGTGCCAGGTGATTATGGAGATTCAGATTTGTCACCAGCTCTCAAAGGGGCATAAGTCAGAAGGTACATAAATAAACCATGTCGCTTGTTGTCACTGCCTCTGTGAGCCGTGGGCAGCACGGAGGCAGAAAGCCCTTGAGTCCCAGGCACATGGCAGAGTCACCTGGAGTTTGTGAAGGGACATTTTTGCTGAAGGGACTATTTTTATGATAGGGCCAAGGCTAAGTGGGTCAATAGGGATGAGGTGGCATCCAGTGACCTTCCCTGGAGGAGAGCCTCCCGCACACACTCCAGTCTGAAGGGAGAAGGTTTAGAAGGGGGCTGCTGGCACAATGCGAGTTGGCATCATGGCAGAAGGGTCATAGGGCACTAGCTGTAGGTGGAAATGGGTATGGGCATTGTCAGGATGAGAGCAAAATGGAGGGCGGGGAAGGCAGAGGAATAACTGCTCAGACATCTTTTTTTTTTTTTTATTTTAGAGAGAGAGAGAGAGAGAGAGAGAGGTGTGTGTGTGTGGCCAGCTCAGCCCACCAGGGGGCGAGGCTGGCTGGCATGTGGTGCTGGGGGATTGAACCGCGGTCCCCGAT